GTAGTTATTGTAAATATGAAGTTGTATTTAGCTAAATTGGCGAAGAGCATTTTGTTGTTTTATATGGTCTGTCTTCGGCTATTTTTTTGTATACTTCGTCTACGAGGAGGGCGATGTCAAAGACAGACTCTTTGATTGTAAATATTAACACTTATCTATGCCACGCCGTCCTAACTCCATTCTTGTCACTTTGTCTGCTTCTTTTATTTCTGTAATATTTGTATTTAATAATACGAGTATAACCTTTTCCCCTAACCGCCGTTTCCTTTGCTGTCCTCGTCAAATATTAAAGAGTAAATACTTGCCTACTCTGTATTACTTAGCGTTTCTAGATTGGGAGTAACTTTGGGAATCTTTTTTTCTTAGAGAATGCTCTAAGTATTTATTTGGCAAAAGGTTGAGAAAAGCCACCACTCTGAATGTAGTCGTTCGAGCAAAAACTTTTTTTTTATCTGAGTTTGAGTTTGAAACTTCTTTTAAGAAATATGTTAAGTTGTAAAAAGTGGAAAATAAAAACTTTTCTTATTGAAATCAAAAACTGCTTCATAAAAATAAAACCACTAAAAATGAATTTATATACAATACATAAAAGTCTAAAGTACCTTTTAAAGTACTTTAAATGCCTAGATTTAAAGTCAAATTAACATTTGGATTGGAATGCATATCACCTACTATTATGTTAATTATTACGAGTAGGTAATGATATACTTTTTGCCTGATATAGATCGACTACTTGAAACTTTAATCCCCACAAATAGTGACGAAAATATTTTAATGCCCACACTACCGCTAGATACTCTTTTCTTTTATTGAATTTTTTTTTCACATTCACTTAATTTTCGTGGTGTGGACAAATTTTTTACCCGACTGCGCAATGCAAGAGCGCGAAGTTCGACGCGCAGACAGGGTATAGTGTTTAACAGTCTATATATGTATGTTTGTTCCTTTGTGGCACACTAGAGACCAAACGCCTGGACCGATTTTGATGATTCATACATCAATCGATTCGTCTCAATCATGGGAGTGCTACTAAAGATATGATAGTAATCAAAATTCAATATGGGCAAATATATGCGCCATATTGTGACGAAGTAAAAAAAATAAGTTGCCAAATATGTCAAGTGGGATATCACTGTCTTGATAATCGAAAATCATGTTTAGGTTCCTAACACCATTTTTCATTTTATATGATTGTTTAGGATCTACAAAAATACTGAATGGATTTTAATGAAACTTAACAGTAATATAGCTCATATATGATAATAATATATATATATACTTATATAATAATTTATGTAGTTATTGATTATAACAATAAGTGTCACATAAGACGGAAAAAAATCTCCCATCTGCGCCTGCGAGCCATTTTGGCCTGCAGTGCAAAATCAATAAAAGTTACATGAAGGTAATGTAGAGTGAAAATGTATCTCTTAAATAGTTCTAAAAAAATGTTGTGACACCATATATCTATTTTTAATGTGTAAGTCATTATCGCTAAAATAGTGAATCAAAACTAAAATATTATTTCATATCTATTTCCAAAATACACAGATTGTATTAAAAAAATATTTTTTATCAAAATAAATACTTTTATCGCTTTTGATATTTAAAGACGATAAAATATGCCCTATGTCATTTCGACAAATATTTAAAAAGTTACAACGATGACAAAGTGATAGCGCGGTGTACTATGAAGGAGTAGACTGATGGAATACTAAGAGAAGGAATTTAATTTAGGTGTTTATAAACGTGGATAAAAACTAGGCGAAAAAGAAAAAAAATGGGCTACTCGCAGTATCTGATCCTATACGAAGTACTTACAAATAAAACTGTGATACAGTTCCTTCTTATTAAATGATGAAAAATAAATTATCATAATAGGTATTTATGATTATTGAATTTTAATGAAAAACTCAGAATTATACTGTTTTGATTTTTTTTAACGATATTTTAACGATATACTTAATGTTACAAAAAAGGTTTACTTAATATAATGACAAATAACCCATTTTTCGCTAGTAGGTACATACTTATTGGAATTCCTGTATTTATTAATCAGCTCGCGATAATATTGGTTTTCTAATTATAAACAATAATTCTGCAAAATTCAAAGAAAATAATATATTTTTTTGTAGGTAAATCACCCCTTTCATCACCCTACGCCTATAAGTATTGCGATGTTGTAGCTAAGAACCAAGTTCCAATCTACTTCTATAGGGGCATTCATTATAATCGATTTAGCTATTAGGGCACAAAAGCGCAACAAACAAACTCACTTTACACTATAATATTATATTATACTTACTAGTGATCCACCCGGACTTTTTGAATAAGTGCTAGTTTACTATAAAATTTACATACATTAGATATTTATGTAACGACTTGATTTAACTAAACACATTTTTGCTAAAATTGAGGCCCATCTGTTGCCTTGACCCCGCTGGTAAAGTCTCTATATGTCTTAATAAATCAATCTTTTAGACCACCGCAAGGTACTTAATAATTCCCGCAATATTAATTCCCTTACTGAAGTAACAAGACTACGGTATATACCGTCTTAAAATACTAACTAACTAAAAAGTGTGAAATAAAAAAAGGTAAATTTAAAAAATCAAAAAACCCGACAGCTTAATTATACTTCAATTATAAACTGAAAAGAAAAAAACCAGTAGTCTATAATTCTGTTAATAAGGAACAAAGCTACTTTAATAGTCGGGACCCATTAGATATTCAAGAATACATAATATTTTTCAATAATGGGTCCCGACTGTTAGTTTTATGAAATTTTATATGCATATTCCGTGGGTCTGAGAATCAGCTACTATCTATTTTTCATATCCTTAAGTGATAATGGTTGTCCATCTGTAACTTAGTGTCCTGAAATCTACAATGCGCCTTCGCGCCAAAAGAAACTATTGGGTATTGTAACGTAGTGTTCTCATATGAGTTGGGAGGAATGTTATCCCAGGAAATTGAAAGAACACTACGTTACACACCCCTAAAAATTTTTTTAGACAATATTTATTTTTTTATAATGTGGTATTCAAAAATACATACAACCCTACATTTTCTCTGCTACCACCTGCCCCTATTTTTGGCGGTACGAAGTTCGCTGGGTCAGCTAGTCAATCTATATAATACTAGCTGACTCGGCCAACTTCGTACCGCCCAAAAGTAATAATTTGCAATAAAATAATATTGCGACTTTAAATTGAGATGAAAGCTATCGCATCTTTCAAGTTGGAACTAACTGCACACGGTGTGCAAATTTAATTAAAATCAGTCAAGTAGTTTAGGAATTCATTCCGGACAAACAACGTGACGCGTAATTTATATATATTGAGATTTTTTTTCTTGAAAACAAACCAAATCTGTCAAGGTTTTAGGCATGACTCAAATCGGCGTGTTCCGCTGACCGGGAGAATGCCCTAACCCCTAGCATTTGTGGTAGTTCCTACAATAAAAATAATATTAATATCAAGTTCCCAATTAGCCCTGATTGCACTGATTATTTATTTATTATAAATATATATTGAAGGTATACTTCTTTAGGCGCGTTATGAAAAAATGATGAGAGTGAAATTTTAAGATGCGCGCGCATCACTGTAACACAAAAAATTAACAGCATGAAGTTGGTCGCTTTAGCGACCAACTTCATGCTGTTACTTTTGTGTTTACCGCACATTAAGAAAATCTACCAACAAAATAGAAACAGAATCTTTATTTAGTGGGTGCTAACGACTGCATTGTGTAGGCCTATCAAAAGTATTTATTAATCTGGAACAACGGAACCAAAGCGCGATTCAGGAGACTACAGCGCCATCTCTTGACCATTGGTGTAGTAGAACCAAAAACCACATCTTTATTTATCAAAAGTATTTATTAATCTGGAACAACGGAACCAAAGCGCGATTCAGGAGACTACAACGCCATCTCTTGACCATTGGTGTAGTAGAACCAAAAACCACATCTTTATTTTTCAATGTTACTTTTATGTTATTATTGTAATAAAGTAACAGTTATAGGTATTCATATTTATAATATTTATCCACATGTTTCTAGTTTGTATATTCGGAATACGTGTTTGAGTTTCATACAAGTGCAAATCACATATGTTCTAATAAATTATATTCAGTAGCGATTTTAATTGAATATTTTGATTATTTATTTATTTTTTCAAATTAAAACTGAACTTTATTGACTGTGTCATTTTCCAGACTTTTTATTAATTTATTGTAATTAATTATTTGCATGCAATTAAAAACTAATTTTAAACGATGCCAAAGAAGGATAACTTCTCACGCGCCTACATAAGTACACGCACCCATTTTTTTATTAACTCATACTTAATATTAAGACATTTATTTACTGTTTACAAGTAAGCAATAAATTTCTTTATACGTGGCAAGTGCTTTCTTTTCTATGCTATTCTAGGCCAATATCATGTTTCTGAAGTGCAACCGTTTAAATTGCTGAAATATCGGGAGTATACAAAGAGTAAAACACGTCGTAAATATCCCGTATATTTGATTACATAATGTTAACAAAGTTTTAGTTTGCGAGATTTAAAAGTAGGGAAATTGATAATTTACCCGACAATCCTCAAATCACGGACACGCGGTAAGCGGGCGGCCATTGGCATGCTTTTCTCTTATTGGTCTGTGCTTCACTCACGAATAAACAAGGTAGAAGAAGAAAGAAGTTAGAAGTTTTTACAGATCCGTGATGTAATGTATGTAATTAAGAAGTTCAAGTCTACATATATATATTTATTTTAGTTGGTTTATTTACATGTCTTGTCGCCATTTTCCTCCACGTGTTGTTTCAAATGAAATGCTACCTATAAGTTTACGCTTTGTGAATCAACTACGGAACCCTACATCTTGCATTGCCCGAAACACACTTGACCATTTTTTTAAGCCAGTTAGTAAAAGAATGTTCTCGTTGATCTTGTAGTCCAGCAATTCTTCCACCGGTTTTAAAAAAGAAAAATAATGTTATTTTTCTTTTTTAAAACCGGTGTTTTTCTTTATGTTCTTTTTTATCCGATTTCAAAAAGAGTAGGGTCTCAATCCAGCCGGTATGTTTTTTTTTAAACATGTATCTACTTACTTACATCTATAGGTATACATTTGTTACATATATCCCAAATACGAAAAAAGAAATCAGAAACAACACCTACTCAAAGTTTCTTTAAATTACAAAAAAAAATTGGCCATTTTTTCAGCAGCCCAATCGATTCTATTAAATGTTATTGGTGAAGTACTGGGTGATATATTTAACCTTTACAATACCGGCCTCATAATATAATGTCAATAACCTCGAAGGTGCTTCTTTTTATTCGCAAATCCTATTGTTTTCATTCTTGTCTTAATTAGATAACCTACCTACGTGTGATCTGTATGCCACGCATGTTTGCCCATCCATCAGCAAATCTTACTGAGGGCATTCACCGAAATCCCCGGTCTCGATGCTAATTAGACATGAGGAGATAGCCCAAAGCGATTCCTGAGCCGGCCGACCGGTGGCCATCGGAGCGCGGTCACAATCGCGCATACGATGAGCCCAAGTGCACGCTACCGCTCGCTCGTCCGCGGCCTCGCCACACGCTTCTGCGTGTTATACGCGCTCCTAGAATACTCAACGGCTACCGAGGACCATGGTATCCCGATCGAAATAAAACTATGGGACTCGGGACGGTCACCGTTATCCCAAATGGTGGACATAACAAATGAATTCGGTTTGAAAGTGCTCGCGGAACATAATTTTTTGAACGACAACAACATAGCGTTCTCTCCGTATGGGTTGATGGGAATTTTGGTGGCGTTGTATGAGGGCGTCGACGGCGAGTCCTCGTTCCAGATTCAGCGAGGTATGCGCCTTCCTTGGAATAGGAACATCATGAGGATAGGATTCAGAGACATACATCGGACTTTGAAAGTAAGTTTTATAATTTAAGCATATACGGTGAAGTACATTTTGTTTCTTCTATACTAAATAAAGCAAAATCTATCTAGGGGGCGTCCATAAATTACGTGAGATGTTTAAGGGGGGGAGGGGGTCGAGTCAAATCTCATCTAATCTTACGTTGGAGAGAGGGGGGGGTCTCGGCAAATATCACGCAATTTTTTTCTGATTGAAACAAAAAAAATATATACTATTTTGGTCCATTTATTCCAGATTGTACATGCTTAAGATTTAATTAAAACAAAAATTAAAATAAAAACAGGTCAGGGTAATAAAAAACCTATTTATATATTTTTGGCTCAAGTTCTAAAATAAAAATGAATTGTGATAAAGGTATCTATTTAAATGTAAATAAGTATGTAAAGTACTTACGCGAAAAAGACTACACCAATTTGGATAATTCTTTGTTGTGTTTGTGTGCCATGGCAATTTTTGTTTAAAATAAAGAAGATTCAAAAGTGGTAGTCGGTTTCCGGCAGCATAAACAGATATTTATAATTTCTAATTTACCTCCGATTTATTTTAAGTCGTGTTTGAAAATTGAACAATTTCGTAAGGATTATGTCTTAAGTTACGTCATATTTTTGTCTATAGCAGTTTATTATAGTCAACTCAATCACTTTAAATGTCAGTCAGTCCAAGAGGCCTACTCTATAAATTTCGATCAAAACTTCGCACTTTTCTTACTATGTTTCTGATTCGTTTTTAATAATAATTATATTCGTCGTCGGAATATAGATTTGGATTTTCTAATCCTACTCATAGAAAGCTTCAATTTGATAGTTAATCGTTCAAACTAAGTAAACCTTAAATTGACGAAATTAAATTTCTTTTGAACTTCGTTATCGAAAGTTCGTTTTGGAGAAAGAGAGTAGACCCCAAGTCCTGTCCAATATTTTTTGTGAAATCGTAGTGAAAATACTAAACCAATTTTTGTTTGTTTTTTTTAATTCAATACCCACAAAATAGGTACCGAATTATGAGAGATGAACGGAATCAGTACTATCACTGCTTTAGTTACCTATTGAATAAAATATATTTGATACTTTGGCAACAAACATTTCATGTATAAATAAACTTTCCAATTGCTAAACAATAACTATGTCATTTTAAATTATCATAATTATTCAAAAAAACGGGCATAAAAGAAATTGTAAATTTTTGTCAAACGATTTATAAGTAAGTGCACTATTTGTCATTAAAATTTGGAGTCTGCCGGAGACTGAGTGCCACCCTCGGCCTCCATACAAATTTGAACCGTGTCCGTGGCTATGTGTAAAAGCACCAGAAAAAAACGAAAATAGTGATGTTGCTTTTGTATTGAAATTGCTAAGTCTAAATTTCTCATTAGTATACCTACCTACTTACTTCTATTAAGGCTTGGAGTCTTTAGAATTAATGAATATGAAATAAAATTTGGACATTTTCATATTCAATGATATAAATAGAAATAGATAATTTAGTAAATTGTCAGAAAAGATGTAGGAACCTAGAATAGACGCTAACTAAGACATAGTTTTAACTATGTCTTAAAAATATATCTTACTAATTAAAAACTATACATACAGCTACTTTAATTAACGTGGTTGAAATTTCATAATTTCATAGATAAATTCATGTGCATAATGGTAAGTTATTTATATTCGCTGCCCATAATTATTAAGGGATTTGCAAATTTCTGGTCTGTATAAATAAGTAAGGTGTTCCGATGTGACCGCTTTCTAGTTGAGAACAATGACACAGCGCCAATTGTGTTCATTAGCTGATCTGTAACTAAAAACCTTGAAATTTTGTGAACGTAATACTGTAGTTTATTGTTATAAAAAAGTGAATAAAATATAGTTCATTTTAAAATAGGGAAAATTTTAGGTACTTTTTTAAAATTAGCACATATTTAAATAAAACAAGTTTTAACGGGTTATAATTATGCACTGAATTTATTTATTTATTGACGTTTCGCATCCTTTGTAGGAATGCATCGTCTTAATATAACCCGTTAACTGGTTTTATTTAATGAGTGATGTGTGTAAAACAATTTAGCACTTGTTTACTAAATTTCAGACTTACTTTGTACCTGAGGAAGGATTTCTTGCTGGTTTGGCGTTGAACAACGAGAATGTGACATTCAATGATAATTATAAGAAAGTTTTAAGATTTTATGGTTTTGATTTGGAAAACGACCAATTACCCACTCTTTCCCCGGAGAATGCGACTATGACAACGAATTCAACAATGAGTCCAGATGTTTTAGGGCAGACTACCACGCCGAGCATGGCGACTGAATCCAAAGCAGGGGAAAACGAAGCAACTACAACAGCGATGAGGGAGGAAACTACCGCGAATCCAGACTCTGAAACATTGAATGAGGTCGATATTCGAGGACCTTTACCTCCTACAACTACTGCAAGTACTGTGCCAGCGGCGAATGCTGAGAGTATACCACCTGAAACTACTAATCCTTCCACAAGCACCACTAGCCAAATTCCTACTACTAATCGACCAACTCCAACAACAGTACAGCCAACGGAGACAATTACAACAACTACACAGATACCAAGTTCAACTACTGATATAAGTAGTCCTGCGAAATCTGATCTTCCGTCAACCGTTCCTGTGACTGTAGATGAAGTTACGTCCCCGACATCAACGATAGCATTACCAACTGAACCTACTATAGACAATGAAGTCATGACATCTACTGATTTAAGAACCAGCACAGTTTCAGATGCTACAAATAATGATATGTCTACTATAACATCAATGTCGAGCGACCCATCTGAGCCAACCACGACACAATCAACTGTGATTGAACAATCTATGATTTCTACAGAGAGTACTACGAGTACTTCAATGATGGATATAATAACGACTGCATCAGTCAATGCCTCCTCTTTGGAAACGTTAGAAAGAAAAAAGAAATCTATTGTTGACTTTATTTTTACTAATCCTCCATACATGGATGACTATTTAATATACAGGTCGTATGATGTTGGCTTGGAGTTACCGTTACCAAATTTTAATAATAAAATGTTTCTAGCAAATGGATTGAAAAGTGTTCAGGTGAGTTGATTACTCTATTCTATTGAGTAAATATAAGTATATTTTTATTGTACTTTAATGTAGTAGGTAGGTGGGTACCTATTACGTAGGTGTGTATCTATAGTAATATAAGTTATTTATTGGATTGTTACCATGTACCTTGTTTTTAGCGAGTTTAACAAAACTCTTGTTTGAAAAAACCAGGTACATGGTAACAATCCCCTAAATAGTTTATATTACAATAATGTTAGTGACAATGAAAGTTTAAAACAATATATTTGTGTATCTATACTAATATTATAAAGAGGTAATATTTGATTGTTTGTTAGAATTGAATAGGCTCCGAAACTACTGGTGATTTGAAAAATTCTTTCACATTTAGAATTCTAAATTATCCCTGATGAACATAGACTATAGAGTATTTTCAAAAAGTTAGGGTTCCGTATGAAAACTTCGATAATGTAAACCCCACGTGTGCAAAAAATACCACAAAATAACCTTTTATCGCGTATGCTGCGGAAGTCATTGACAATAGAGCAAAGTGACGTACTTAAGACATATAGAGAACATAAATATCTACAAATAGTCCGTTATACCATACGTCTATCTATTACAGTTATGTCACAACTAGAGGTTCCCTACGGTTTCACCCGCCTTAATTTGAGAAGGGTTATAGTGAGTCAAACGTAAGAGATGGAGATATGCTGTCGCGGATTTTTTTAAAGAACTTTTAAAGAGAAACAATTTCGTCATACAATGTTTTATTGTAACTTTAACCGTTTACATAGCGCACGCAACGGGAGCTCGCAAATGGAATTTTTATACCCGTTTTTGCATCAATTTTCATCGATGCTTCGCTCCTACTAGACGTAGTGTGGTATTATATAGCCTATAGCAGTACACCGAAGCGAAGCGAGGGCGAACTATAATTTGTAAATATAGCAAGCGTAACGAGGACGAAATGTAATGTAACAATAACAACATTCATTTATTAAGGACTTACATTTGGCCGCGCGCCTACTCTATGAGGAAATTATTGTGACAAAAACATTAGTTGATGTAGGTATAATAAAACGAAGAATGTTCTGTGAAATAGGTCACTTAGCAACAACAATAGACAATAAACATGTTAATTACCACCCGAACGCTTTGTTTCGCAGGTGACATACATGCACTACGACACAGTACTGGAGCACGCTTATCTGCCGCATTTGGAGGCGGCGGCTTTGAGGTTGCCTTTGGACAGTGAGCGGTATTATCTGTTGGTGGTGCTGCCATCAAGGGCGGGAGCAGCGGAGCTGGGCCGGCTACTCTCGCGCATGGCTCGGGAATCGGACCTCTCCGACGTGTATTCGGCATTGCGCCCGCGCCGCGTGCGCGCCGTGGTACCCAGTTTCACAGTCAAAGGGCATGTCACGTTAACAACAGATTTGCAGAAGGTGATGTTGTAAATTTGATTAAAGTAAGGTCCCCCGGGGCAATTGTTGCCATGGGGTAAATGTAGCTGTGTCAAATATATCACTCTACTACGGGGAGTGAGAGGAAGGCGCTGCTCTCAAGTTTGCGGTTGGCATGGCGGATGCGATTGGCCGTGTGAAGTACTGGCATTACAGGCCCTGCCAGAATACCAGCACTGCTGTGACACGTTTGGCGGATAGTTGTGGAACCCAAGCAGAGATTTTTGGATTTACTCGAGCGCGGCAGAATGACATATGGGGAGCAACCTTGCACCTAGTTAAGTACTCCCACCATACCTGAGCCCTCTATGTAGGGCCGAACGTCTAGGGCAGCAAAAACAAAACTTCAACGAACGGTCATGACTTTTGGTCGCGCCCAAATCGTCATTCTTTTGAATATAAGCTACTAGAGGGTTCATAAAATATTGGTTCAAGGTTTATGTTTATGAAATTAAATGGTTTTTATTTATTTTTATATTTGTGTTGATTAAATGAAAGGTAAATTGCGGTTTACGATTTATGACGCATTAAAAAAAAAACAAATCTCATTCAAACCAATTTTCGGTAGAAGTTTGCATAGTAATGTACCTATTTTTTTTAGTTTTATCATTCTCATAATTTAGAAGTTACAGGGGGTTTACCACTTTGGCAGTGTCTCTCGCGCAAACTATTCAGTTTAGAAAAAATGATACGACAAACCTCAATATCATTTTTGAAAACCTATCTATAAACAGTCCACACGTATGGGATTAATGAAAAAAAAATTTTGAGTTTCAGTTTTTATGGGGAACCCCCAAAAATTTAATTTCTTTTTTTTTTCTATTTTTGTGTGAAAATCTTAATGCGGTTCGCAGAATACATCTACTAACCAAGTTTCAAAAGTATAGTTCTTATAATTTCGCAAAAAAGTGGCTGTGACGTACGGACGGACTGGCAGACAGACGGACATGACTAATGCATAATGGTTCCGTTTTTGGCCGATATAAATAGTTAAAATATAGATAAAATAGTTATTTAATTTTATATTGATTTTAAAAAAATGGGGGTGAAATAAATTGTAGTTATTTGTCAAAAAAATAAAATAAAATGAACGATTTACAATTACATATGTGCACTACATGTAGGTAATAAAAATTTGAAGTTTGTCGGAGACTGCCTACCACCCTCCATACAAAATTGCACATGTCGTTTTTTCTAAACATACATTTACCTTTGCGCAGTTGGGTATTAGGGACGTCTTCGAGCCTCGGCAGGCCGACTTCACGCCTATGACGCGGCAGCCAGGGGTTTACGTGCGCAGCATCGAGCAGGCCGTCTCCGTGGCCATAAGGAAGTATCGCCCGGATGACATAAAGAAAAATAGTAAGTACGAATGCGACCGCCCGCGTTTACTTTAGTTTTTTGAGAAATCCACAGGAACCTAATTTTTTTCTAGAAGTTAGAATATTATAATCATTAATCTAGGGCATAAACTATTATGCGTAGGTACCAAATTCCATCAAAATCCCTTCAGTAGTTTTCGCGTGATTGATTTACATACAGACAAATAAACAAACATACAAACTTTCACATTTATAATATTAGTTAGGATGCCGGGGTTTTGCCCCGTACACATGCATATGAATATTTTTCTATGGATTAAGACCTAAAAATAATGTACCAACCTATGTAGTCAGTACTTCAAAACCGAAGATGTTGCTTAGATTTTTTTGATGAGTATACTATTAAGTATTACACTGAACGGAAAAGTTTGCATGGATCTTCGTCTTCTCCCCCACGATCGTAGATAGTCCGATACAAAACGTTCACAGAATACACCTATGATGTATACAAATAAATTCCTTTGTTAAAACTAGTTAGGTACTTAGTATAGTCGATGCGTCTGCGTACAAAGGTCTCAAACCCCCCCTGTTATGTTACGGTATGAACCATTTAATTACTTCCACGCGTAAGTGGCCGGTGGCGATCCTCTAGCCGTCTGTCGGTGGAATACGGACGCAAGCAGGGTTGTCCCGTACCAATTTCCATGTATCAATTTGATTTTTTATGGTTTGACTAAGGTACCTATAAATTACTTAAGATCATCATAATGTACAACAGCCCAAAGAAGTTGAAGAGCATGGATCCTTTCGCGACCACCGTTAAGATTTTTTTTGTGTCGCGGCATTGTACTGTACTTCTTACTGTAGACATAGTTACAGTCTAGTCTAGCTAATCGCTAAAAGCTCGCAGTCCATTAAAGTAGTGTTAACAAATTTCCACCCATTATCGAGATTATGCGATGAGAATATACCGGCTATCGTCAACTACGATCACACTGCAGTATACGTGAAATGGTATTGGAAACCCTAGCGCAGGTCACATCACAGGTAATGTAGTCGCGTCATCGTCACGGGCCGACGCGCTCGGGCATCCTTCGCTGGCATTGGTGTGATCCCAAAATATAACCTAAATTGATTTTGCACAATTAATTTAACTGACAACCGTGAAGGTTAACCCATAACAACTTTATACTGATTTAGGTAATATTGACAATCATCACTGATGATAAGTATAGTACCCTATCAATCGTAACACCATCATCATTTAGCCGTACGTATAACCCTCCCTGATAAGCATAGGCCTCCCAAAGATTTCCACTCTGATCGGTCCTCAGCTTCCCGAATGCAGAGCCTTCCCGCGTTTCATCGGTCCATCTGGCGAGTAACCTGCCCCCTGAGCGTCGTTGTGGTTGTCGTCACTCGAAAACCTTTCCAACGGTCGTCGGTTCTCCTCAATGTCTCCAGTTCTCTGCTACTTTAGCTGAGTAATTTTTGTTATCGGTCGGATAATTTAGTTCTCCTGCAGATTTCCTCATTTCTGATTTCAGCATTCAGAATACCGAACATCTCTCTTCATTTCTCGCTATGCATTAACATAGATAAGGATTTTCCTAGGGGCACCCTAGCCGTTCATTTGAACTAACATTGTTTGTCAAACTAACGGCCGCCCGCGAGTTTCTCCGTTTTAACCTAAGAGTTTTTAAGAATTCCACAGGAACCTTACATTTTTCCGAGATATGGATCCTGTCTCAATCCAGGTCATAAACTATGTGCGTACAAAACATCCAAATGTGTTCAGTAGTTTTTGCGTGAAACTAAAAGAAAGTAAAACTTAATTCATTAAAGTCGATCCAGCTGTTCGAGCATCGAAGGCAGAATACCCTAGTTTTACTGCAACCTAACCTTACTTAATACTGCGATAAATCGTTGTCCAAAGAGTACAAATCTAAAGTCGTTTTAAACTAAGTTGAGTGCATGCAGTGCCGGAATTAAGGCAGGGCAGGCGGCGCTGTGGCTGTGGCCCACCACAAGAGAGGGGGCCCCCACAAACAGAAACTGCTCTCCAGATTTGAAAATAGGGGCCCCACACCTGCAAATCCGGCCCTGAGTGCACGACTCGTGGTGACCATTGTTTGCGTTATACGGACGGGCGCTGGCGCAACCGCGCAACACGGCGACACGCGCATTTGGGTTCATTGATGCGCCGAGCGCTGCTCTCTCGTTCTAGGCATAGGTAATAAACTGCACTAATAAACCTACAATTCCGTACAAAACTGACCTTTATGATAATAATGATAAGATCATCATCATCAGATATTATAGTAATCTCCACTGGCCCGGATACCTAATTGTGAAGCGCGATGAAAATGATGATTTCCAGATAGTAGTTTTCAATTACATAAATGACTGTAACTAGAAAAATTGCTGTTTGATGATTTCCTGTTGCTAAAGGCTCATTTTTTTAACGATTTTTATACTCATTGAGTAGTAGATCATAATCAAATTGCAAGGACGTTTGTTTGCTAAATACAAATGGGATTGTGTATGGAGAAGTGCAGAAGAAATTATTTGGTATGCCACTTAAAAATTTTGGTTTAACAATGAAAAGCAGCCTCAAAATTATTTGGCCAGCGTAGTAAGTTAAAACTAAGCGTATCTCAACCGTTATTATTTTCCTTATAAGAATCAATCCAATTCAATCCTGGAATCTGCTATTAATCATTCTGATACAGTTATGTGAAAGTACATTTACCCTGAGGGTAGCTTAGCAGTAACTCTAAGATAGATAAGTAAATCAAAATATTAAAATCGTGTGTACTTTTTACCCGGCTGCGCAATGCAAGAGCGCGAAGCGCGACGCGCAGACAGGGTTATGTGTTTATTAACAGTCTATATATGTATGTTTGTTCCTTTGTGGCACATTAAAGACCAAACGCCTGGACCGATTTTGATGATTCATACATCAATCGATTCGTCTCAATCATGGGAGTGCTACTAAAGATATGATAGTAATCAAAATTCAATATGGACAAAATTAGACGCCGTAATGTGACGAAGTAAAAAAAATAAGTTGACAAAATATGTCGAGTGGGGTATCACTGTCTAGATAATCGAAAATCATGTTGAGGTTCCTAACACCATTTTTCATTTTATATGATTGTTTAGGATCTACAACGCTTTAAAGTTGTATAATAACCACTTACGCTTTTAATTTCAATCTTACGTTTGTATGGATCTTTGTTACTCTTTCACCTAAAAAATACTGAATGGATTTTAATGAAACTTAGCAGTAATGTAGCTCATATATGATAATAACATATATATAATAATTTATGTAGTTATTGAGTGAATTGGCCAAAATATAACAATAAGTGTCACATAAGACGGAAAAAAATCTCCAATCTGCGAGCCATTTTGGCCTGCACTGCAAAAACAATAAAGATTACATGAATGTAATGTAGAATGAAAATGTATCTCTTAAATAGTTCTAAAAAAAGTCCGTGACACCATATATCTATTTTTAATGTGTAAGCCATTACCGCTAAAATAGTGATCAAAACTAAAATATTATTTGATATCTATTTCCAAAATGCACATTTTGTATTAACAAAATATTTTTTATCAAAACAAATGCTTTTATCGCTTTTGATATTTAAAGACGATAAAATTTGCCATTTACACTATGTCATTTCGACAGTTACAACGATGACAAAGTGATAGCGCGGTGTGTACTATGTAGTACTGCGGAAATACTAAGGCCCGTATTATAGAAAGATTCTCAGTAATGAATCTAGTATTGAGCATAGTCAGAAAGAGATGTCGCTATATATAGCACATAGGGGCATCCCTCTCTAACGCTACTCAAGTAAAGATCAACACTTAGTTGTCATTCTGTAATACGGGCCTAAGAGAAGAAATTTAATTTAGGTGTTTATAAACGTGGATAAAACCTAGGCGAAAAAGAAAAAAATAGGCTACTCGCAGTATCTGATCCTATACGAAGTACTTACAATAAAACTGTAATACAGTTCCTTCTTATTAAAGGATTAAAAATAAATTATCATAACAGGTATTTATGATTATTGAATTTTAATGAAAAACTCAGAATTATACTGTTTTAATTTTTTTAACGATATTACTTAATGTTACAAAAAATGTTTACTTATATGATGACAAATAACCCATTTTTCGCTAGTAGGTACATACTTATTGGAATCCTTGTATTTATTAATCAGCTCGCGATAATATTGGTTTTGTAATTATAAACGATAATTCTGCAAAAATCAAAGTAAATAATATAGATTTTTATACGTAAATCACGCCTTTCATCACCCTACGCCTATAAGTATTGCGATGTTGTAGCTAAGAACCAAGTTCCCATCTACTTCTATAGGGGAATTCATTATAATCGATTTATCTATTAGGGCACGGAAGCGCAACAAACAAACTCACTTCATAATATTATATTATAACTTACTAGTGGACGACCTCCGTGGCCGAGTGGTTTGTACGCCGGGTTTCATGGCTGTCGCGGACTCGAGAGGTCCCGGGTTCGAATCCCGGTGGGGGCAGATGTTTGTGTGATGAATACGAGCATTTGTACTCCAGTCATGGATGTTTAATATGTATGTATTTATATAAATATACTTATATATGTACAGTATATGTATTCTATCCGTTACCCTAGCATCCCATAACACAAGCCTTAGTGCTTACTTTGGGGCTAGGCTAATTGGTGTGAGTGTCGGAAATATTTATTTATTATTTATATTTATTACTAGCGGACCCGACAGACGTTGTCCTGTCTACACGTCTTTGTGAATCTAAACCATTCTCAGATCCCCTTGAACACACACAAAAAATTTCATCAAAATCGGTCCAGTAGTTTAAGAGAAGTTCAGTGACATACACACTCACAGAAGAATTATATATATAAAGATACTTATATATGTACAATATATGTATTCTATCCGTTACCCTAGTATCCCATAACACAAGCCTTATAGTGCTTACTATGGTGCTAGGCTAATTGGTGTGTGT